TACAATTAAGCATTATCAAGATCTATGGAAGGGCCGCACCATAGCTCAAGCGGTTAGTTGCTGGCTTCCCACCGTGGCGGCCTGGGTTCGATCAAGTGGGATTTGTGGTGGACAAAGTGGCGCTGGGGCAGGTTTTCTCCGAGTAAATTCGGTTTCCTCTGCCAATCTTCATTCCACCAATTGCTTCACAATCACCCTCACCTACTCACCTATCATCTGGGGCTGGTACAATAGGCCAGAAGTGGCCGCAGTACAAGGGACTTAGTCCCACCCCACTAGCAATAAGAAAAAATCTAAGGGAGAGCTATATTATTAAATACTGTACACTAACTTCATGGAGCAGAGTCTGACAATTCTATAAACTCATCCCTGATATTTGCCCACAGCATCCAGACAGGGTACAGGGCTCTTTTTCTGCAGTTAAAGTGCCAGGGCTTGAAGTTAACGTCACCTTAATTCAGTGCTGAGGTTAAGAATGATGGGGGAGCTATACCTCCGCTCCTCTATATCTTCATACCATAGTGCTTAATTAAGTGCAGGGACAAATGTCCTGTTACTTTTTAGTTCAAGAACTACATATATAACTGACTAACTTCATGGAGCTGAGCCCTTCCTGAGAAGCTGCCAATTATGCAGCTACTCAAGAACTTCTCAGCATTTTATGGAACCTGAAAGTTCATTACCGGCTTCACAAGAGCCCTCCAGTCGTCCCTATCCTGAGCCCAATCAGTCCAGTTCATACCACCCCATCCAATCTCTCTAAGATCCATTTTAACAGTGAAGAACAATGTCTTCTGGGATGTGGCACCATGTAGATATTGTGTTAACCAACATTTCAGAGGAATGCATTGCCTCCATCTTCAGGGTAGCTGCAACCACCTGCTCACGTTGGTTCATTGCTCGCGGATTTTTTATACCCTGAAGATAGAGGAGATACATTCCTCCAAAACATTGGTTAACACAATATCTACATGGCACCACATCCCAGAAGACGGCATTCTTCATAGTGACCACCACGAAAACCTCAAATCTTATGTTTTAATATTGCCCACCTACCTATGTCTTGGTCTTCTTAATGGCTTTCCCACCAATATCTTACATGCATTTCTCTTTGCCCTAATTCATGCTACATTCTCTCCCCATCTAATCCTCCTTGATTTGATAATTCTAATTATATTTGTGCCGGTCACGGTAGCCGAGCAGTCTAGGGCATGCACCGTCTTCGCTCGCTCGGAAGCCGGGATCGTGGGTTCAAATCCCACTCAGGGCATGGATATTTGTGTGCGTTTTTCTGTTTGTGTACAGGTAGAGGCCTTGTGACGAGCTGATCACCCACCCAAGGAGTCCTACCAAATGTGTAAGATCTAGTAAACCAGAGTTTCATGGAGGTAGGCCTAGGCCCAAATGAGGGCTGTAGTGCCAATGAAAGAAAAAAAATTATTTTCACAGGCTGAAAGTTATGACGCTCCTCATTATGCAGTTTTCTCCAACCTTCTTCCACTTCATTTCTCTTCGGTCCAAATATTTTCCTCAGCACCCTGTTCTCAAACACCCTCAGTCTGTGTTCCTTCCTTAAGGGCAGAAACCAAGTTTCACACCCGTACAGAACCAAAAGCAAAATTATAGTTTTGTATATTCTAATTTTTAAGTTTTTAGACAGCAGATGAGAAGACAAAAGGTTCTAAACTAAATGGTAACAAGCATTACCCGAATTCAGTCTCCTCTTAATTTCTTCCTGAATCAAGTCTTGATTTTTTAGGATCATTCACAAATATCTGAAGTGTGCCACATTTTCAAAACATCTTTTAACTATCTTTATATCACAATTTTGCCCCACATTCTGGTGATGACACAAAAATATGTACTTAGTTTTCTGTGTCTTTATGTCTAGACCAACCTCTTTACTGGCGTCAATTAAACTTTCTGTGTTTTTCTTTATGGTTTCTATGTTATCACCCAGTAGATTCACATCATCAGCACAGACCAGCAGTTGATGTGTCCCATTTAATTTCAGTCCCACCTGGTTTTCCTGGACCTTCTTAATGGCACATTCTAAAGCAAAGTTCAAAAGTACTGCCAATAAAGAATCTCCTCATGTGAAATTATCCTGAAACTCCATGTTGTTTAAAATTGCCAATGAATGTAGGAAAGCAATGTACTGGAATCTCCACTGTAGAGGGGAATTTCCTGCATGGAATTCTTTGCACAATCTTAAAAAATACATTAAAATACAATTTTCAAGCTTGGAAATCATATTGTACATCACATAGTGTATATTACAAAAACAGGCAATGTTCTATACTGAAAACAAATTATGCTGTGTATGTAAAAGATTGGGTTATCAAGTTCACATCTGCAAAAAATTAACGTTCCAGTCTTCTGTGTGGTTATCAAAACTGGAATGTATAACAAAATACAATAATTACAAAATAAGTGACATGCTACTTAAAAATGCATTCATAATAGGCATATTCCATCAGTGGACTTTCTCATGTTCATCATTAATCGATTCCATTCAAAATTAGTGCTGTCATCTGAAAGAACAACCATTTGCTCTGATGGCAGACAGTCAAAAAGACGTCGGAAAGGTTGATATCTGTGTAATGTTTTTACATCTCCGATAATAAGCAATTTATGTTTTGCTCGTGTAATTGCCACTGTCAGTCTTCTTTTATCTCCAAGTATTTCATTTTCCTACAAAGGAAACACAGACGAGTTTAATTACTACTACAAAAACAAATGGTGAGAGCTTAAGAACTTCAATGCTCAAAGTTCAGATGTTAGTCCAACATTCCAAAATTCACTGTAAGCTACAAATATATAAAATGTATATACCTTATTTTTGGCAGGCAATGATTTCTTGGGTGCATAATCAGTCTTTGTACAAGAGAAGATAATAATATCCTTGTCTCGGCCCTGATATTGATCAACTGTGTTCACTTCCACATCTTTATCAGTGCTACAGGCAACCAGCTTCCGCAGCAGTGCTACCTGGGCACGAAATGGTGCAATCACACCTATACTGCTGCCTTCTGCACCACCCTGTCAATTTAATCATTCTACAGTGTATGTAAACTGAGATATGTATACCAACATTTCACATGCTACAATATCACAAAAGTTATGTCAAAATTAAAAACAGACGTATGAAGATCAGCCCCTGCAATGTGATGCCACACAATCTGATAAGACAGTTACCAATGTTCTGCAGCAGGAAAAATAACTGTTACTCTCCATCCTCAATGTAGGAAAGTAAGTGTTGGTTCCTACCAGGCTGTATGGTGTCACATCCCAGAATACAGTAATCTTTGTAGTCATTGTAGAAACTTAAAACCTCACACTGAGCAATTGGTTTGGCTGTGAAGATCTAGTCCTTACAGATACTTCTCCTGTAGCCACATTTCACACTTCAGTATTCAGTATTCAGTATAGAGGGGGTGGGTTTCCCCATGCACCGCGACTAATAGTCTATTGTACATCCCCCTTTAATTTCTACTGTCGCCATACCCTACCGATACTGGTGTCCGCTATCTCCCCTTTCTGCCAGTGAGGTCGGCCCTCTACTGGCAGTGGTACCCAATAATTCTCCCCTTTCTGCCAGCGAGGTTGGCCCGCTACTGGCATTGGTACCCGATACCTTCCCCATCTACCGGAGGCATTGAAAACTACTTGGGTGGGAAACATTTTGCCTAATTAGGTCGGCCCTCTTCCTAGAGACATGAGGATCTTTTACGTGCCATAAATCTATGACACGGGACCCATGGCTTAAAGTCCCTCCTGGAGGACTTGTTCCCTGAATTTTTCCGCCCTTAAAAATTCCACAACCTCTGCCGGGTTTGAACCCGCGTACCTTGAGTCATGAGGTAGGAACGTCACCCCTAGACTACGGAGGCCGCACATTTCACACTTACTTCCCCAACAATTCCAGATTAAAATTCCTTGTGTAAATGACTGAGGCAAATAAAACTTTCTCATTTGTGACCTACTACATAACTTAGTTCAGACAATGTGTTAACACTGAGGAGTTCACGGCTGTCATAACCTGAAATTGTGTAATGACAATGATAAATGTAAGCCTTAAAAAAACTTTTATATATGTACAGAAGTATACGAATGGAATGCATGAAGCATGTGGGAACATTTCTTTATGAATGTCAGAACAAACTGTGAAATATCATGAATCATGCAATGAAATGTAGTATATCTGCAGTTCCATCACTAGGTTCTTACCTTCATCATTACTGCTACAATATGCTGAACAATAGCTGCCTCATATAGGTTCGTGCATGCCCTTTCCTCATCATTAATTTCTTTAATCACTTTGCTGAGTTCATCACAAGTCAGTACATCATTACTTTTTATGCCACTTTTCAGACTTTTTTCGTTACTTCCACTCGCTAGGCCATGATCGAGACTCACAGATGCTGAGGTGCTGTCATCTGTCAGTTTCTTTGGAATGGGACCAGTATCGATGACCAGAACTGAGTGGTTCATGGCATCTGATAACAAAGGACGGAGCCAGGTCTCCGACTCCAATTCTTCTGTAACCATCTAATACAAAGAAAAGGGCGACATATTTCTGTACATAATATGTCCAATTAAAAATGTAAATTCTTTAAAATATTCACATGTTTACTTAATCTAATGATGGGATTTCAGTTATTTAATGATGCTATATCACTTGGAAAAACAGATCAAAAAGATGGGAGGTAAAGTAACTCTACAGATTGCGTTCAGTTGTGAACACTGGTATGCTGGTATTAGAAGTGTTCAATTAATTACATGAAGCAGTTATGCAGATGGAAACTACAGGATGATAAGTCTGCTCTCCCACTGGTGTAACTGACTGCATGAAAATGGTCATATGTGACATGGAATTTCTTTGCTTGCAACTGTCCCATCACTTTTCATAACACCATTTTCGCCTGTGTGATTAAAACTTTGGTGTCAGCAACCTTTGCAACCACAGTGGTGCCACTGGATGAGCCAATTTCTTGGCAACTTCAGTTGTATAGTTGCATAGCAATAGTGGGGTTAGCATGCAGCGAGATGGCTTTCTGAGCCAAGTACTCAGTCGCTTCCATGTGTGAGCACTGAGTGCAGTTGGTTTCAGATCACCAAAGTATGTGATCAGTTTCATGCAATCAGTTGCGATAGAGAGCAGCATAAGAGGGATGAAAGCTAATAGGAAGTGTAATGTTGAAATTTACTTAACTTTTGTACCTAACTATTGACCTCTGGTTTCTGCCATCTATTCTTGTTACATATGATTCTGTATGTCACTTACATGGAGGGCTGGCAGCTGTAATGTTGCATTGGACACCTGCTCATTGCCACACTTCAACTGACCGTTATATGCGATGCCATTGGCAACATCTGTGATGGCTTGATTCATACGATACTGAACATCAAGGCATACTGTTGCATCAGGAGAATCGAGTCTTGCAAACAGACTCTCAGACATGCCCATATCTCTAGTGGACAGAGCAAGCAATAACAATAATAATAACAATAATAACAACATCCAAAAATTCATATAAATGTTTATAAATTCAGTTCCTACATCACAGGACGTACAAAACACAGTGGATCTCCAGCACAGAACCCAGTTGGTTAATGCTATTTACCCTAAATTCCATATGAAATCCATAAATACAATCTGTGTGCAAAATTCAGAGTTTTCTAGTACCTAAGCAAGTTGTCTTATACTGTGTCGTATGTTGTGCTCTAAAGGGTTAATGTGTGCTTGCACTTTCACATTCAGGTCTTACAACATGTTTTAATACACACATATCTGTTTTCTGAAGTTTACTGTTAATTTAACAATGTCCAACCAACTGTAGCAGTTATGCAGCTTTCAAGAGAAATATGAGCATAAGAGTTGGTAAAGATATGGAAGGGACAGTCAAGGCCTGCTTTAAAGCACAACCCCAGGAATTTGCCTACAGGGACTGAGATTAAAGTTCAATCCATTAACGGTTCCAACTATCTGCTAGACGTCGCTGTTCAGGATCTTCTTTACACAGTTGCTCAGCTGCTGAAGCGTGAAAGTGGACCATATCTTGAGTTGATACAATACAATTTGCACTTTCACGCTGTATTTCTCTGAGATCCATTTTAATATTATCCTCCCATGTATGCCTATGTTTTCTAACTGATCTCTTCTCTTAAGGATTCCTGGGGGGGGGGGACTTAAGAGTTTATTGCACTGCATGTGACAGATACGCACCTTGCAGTTTTGCTTCTTACAAGGGGAGGCAGCTGATCAGGGTCCCCGATGAGTATAAATTTCTTGGCACTGAAGAGTGGACGCAGCACTGAGATTTGCAGTACTTGAGTGCTTTCATCTACTATGCAGACATCAAAAGTTCGCCGAGCAAACAGAGGGTGACCTGCTCCCAAGCAAGTGGTGCCAACCACAGGCTGGACAAATTAGAATGCATATCAATAAATTCCCAGTGGTAACAGAATCAGTCATTTGTGAAATGCAAGGTTCTCAGGTTTGTGGCTGTGAAGATTACTGGCTCCAGGACATGACCCTCTGTGGCTTAGTAGGAACATTCTAGAGGAAGCTACTGTGCTTTGGGGTTCAAGATAGTTTACTACAAATCATATGGGGGTCACTTCCCAGAGGACAGTGATCTTCAGAATGAGTTCAACTTCAGCGAAGTCTACATGAATTTGTCTATAGTGGTTTGGTTAACTATGAACACTTTTCTTCAAGAGTGGTTATTTAACAATGCTATGTCAGTACTATGGCTATCAATGAACAAAAATATTTAGAAAATGCAAGCATAATTTCTTTCTGAAACACCTATGCATGTTGGTTATCTTAAACATACACAAAAATATTCCATACAAATCTGTATTCATCTTTACAACACCGCACTAAACTGAAGTTCATGTCTATCAGCAACGTCCAACAGTGATAGGGGCATACGAAGAGAGATACTGGAAAACCAATACTTGCCAGAGAGGTAAACTTGGAGCATATATGAGTATTATATTGTGACAGAATAAGACGGTTCAGTCAGGTACTGGAGGACAGGAAGAAGAGAGCAGGTTGGTTTCATGGTTTCTCTGCTTCTCAAATGAAGAGTGGGGTAGTACCTTGAAATAGGCCTCCCCCCCCAGGGCTGCAACTTTTAACATACTGGGGAGACTATGTGTTCTGAGCACCTGAAGCAGCATGTTAGTGGGAGTGTAAGTTCCTGGTAGGGTTACCAATCCTAGATAGGAGAAGGGTAGAGGCCAGATGAACAGTAATTCCTTGTCCTACAGGTTAAGTGTTGGGCATAAGGCTGACAACTTTGAATAGTAAAACAATGTGTTAAAACTAATGAAAGATGTCAGATGGAAAATTAAGCAAAATGACCAAAGAAAGGTTATAGAAAGTGCAGAGTACGAGGCAAAAGGCAAGTAAGCGAGAATGGGCATCTGTCATAAAGGGTGCCAAGCTTCATAGAGGGCCATGCAGCCAAAGAGTGTCTCCTGTAGAATTCTTTCTGATCTTTTTCATTCAATGCTATATTATCTCAGTAGATGAAATGGCTCTGTTTAATAACCTGAGACTCAATCTATCATACAAGGCCTCAAACTGAGAATATGAGGCTGCTGCCAACATTTGATCATATATATCACTAACCTTGCTGTTGTATAAGGCCTCCATTTGAGTTGGTGAAACACAATTTGAAATGAGGTCCCCTTCGCTCTTCACTTGGAGCTGTGGGTGGATACGACTAGATGAACCAAGTCTAAGCAGGTCCACATTCCTGGCTGCAAGTTTCAGCAGGACGTTGTCTACAGCTGTGTGGGTATGACTTGTCACCAATACAGACTGTCCCAATTTCACCAGCAACTCTACCAATGACACTATAGTGGCAGTCTTACCTGATAAACGAGAAAAAAAACTTTAACATCAGTCTGCAGTTTTATGTCCAGGTTTTCTGTGTTAGGAAAGGGTTGGGTCAGATTATAATATGCTGGTTGGTTTGTCCTTTGTCCTTTGTTAGTCGTTTAACAAGCTGTTCAGATAGGGGTAGGTTAGGTTAGAGAGGAGGGTGAACATTTATGGATGGATGATATACAGTTAACAGGAATATCAGAAGCTTACACTGACAGTCCTGTGATACTGTGTAGACTCTTGCTTGCACCGAATGGTATAGGATTCATGTCTCAGAAGTATCCTTACCATGCTCATATATAAAATTTGTTATGAAGTTGATCTCACCTGTACCAGGCATGCCCTTGATTAGAAAGTAGTCATTTGCAGAAAGAGCCTTCAGTACAGCCCGACGCTGACACATGTTCAAGGGCTCCAAGATTGGACGACCTGGACGCAAGATGCTAGATCGAAGTCTTTCCACAAATGTGGGTCGTTCTCTGGTGACACAACAGCAGAGAATGGGTTAACAAAAGATCTACCACTATTTTTACACAAATGGAGTGATATGAGGAACACAACACTTCATAAATATGAAAATATTGTAACGTGTTTCGTTACTGAAGACGCTGTTCGGATTGTTAATTTGTTTATTTAACAACCTACAAGTCTCAGCTACAATTAATTATAACAAGGTCACAGGTTTACACAATTTATAAATCCTACACACAACTCAATTCACTCTGTCACGATTCACTCGTTACAACTAAACTCGGTGACTACTAGAATTCGATTCAACTCGTAACTTGCCACTGGCTAGATTCCAACTCAACTCAACTGCTGGCTGCTGCCTTGAGAGCTGTCTTCGGCGGCTGTGTAGTTCCCTTATATAGTCACAGTGTTTGCCTGTTGCCCGTGTCAACAGCGTCGTTGCGTGCCACGTCACAGTAGGAAGCGGTACCGCGTCAAAGCGGGAAAGTGTGCCACGTCATAGAGCGGGGAGAGGGGTGGGGGCGGAACGCCGACCGTCCCGCAACCACGACAGCACTCAATGCCGCCACCACTGGCCGTCCGTTGCACAACATGTCACAATATTTTAAGAGGTTGGGGCCCCAAAATCTACATCAGTGGAGCAGTGGACCAGAGTGTTCAAACAGTTTGAGCCCAGCCTTCCAATCAAGTCATATAATTTTACTGGACACTTACAGCACCACAGCACATCTGAATCTGGAAATATTTAGTAATTAAAAGAGCTCTACCTGATTTATAAAAATACTTTTATGAAGTCCTGGAAAAACAGGCAATGTCAGATGTACAGCCAGCAGCAGCTATGTGATCACTGTGCTGGTGAGATCTTGAGACTACTTCATTTCTGAGCTAGAATCTAGCTACAGTCTGAGCTAAGTCACCTATTTAAACCCTGATGCTTAATGAAACATTTATGATTTATATTGAAAGACGAATTAAATTTTTAAGCTAGAAAAACTTAAGTTTAATCCTCAGTTCAGTGCTCTTCACAGAAATATCATATGATAATTTCAGTGTAAATGTGAGTAGTCTGAGATGAACCTACTAGAGCAAACACAGGCATGTGTGCAAATATACATACCTGTCAACAATGAGTTTGCGAAGTTTAGCTGCCACATCTGTGTTATTCATCAAACAGCCAAGATTTGTAAGGTTGAATCCCTTGCCATTCTGCAATGTGTATATATCAATGTGAAAACATGAACTGGAACTACGTTTTCTTAAATCCCTGTAGAACAAAAAGAAATATATCTGATGGATTTGAGATTATTACAGCATTTTCTTGTCTCCTGGAAATATAAATTACAAACAAGAATATGGTATCATTGGCCAGATTATTGCATATTTTAAAAACAGTTATTTTGTGATTTCTCGAACGTCATGTAAATTTGAGCTGAATGCTTTTTGTTAAAAATTCTTAGTGTAGAAAAAAGGCCCTTGAAGACCTCTCTAACTGTGAAGTGGCATTTCTCAATTAACCCTTCAGTTCCGGGCTTGGTGCCACACATGCCAGCAGTTTCTGTCACATGCTGCCGGGGTCAGTGCACTATATGCGTATTGCAGCTCTAAGTTTCAGCTCTTGTTTTGAACTGTTGTTTTCCATGTAAAGTAATTCTTTTGGTATGAAATTAAAGAGGAAGTTTCTGGCTACCATTTCGTTATTTGTCGTCCCACTTTGAACTTCCCGCGGGAATTGCAATACATTTGGATTCTTTTGAAACTTTTCTATTTCAACATTTGGTGCGCTTGTTACCATACAAACCTACCTCTGCCTAGGGGAATTCTTATGAACTAAGTATGTTAGATCGATACTGTGTGCTATCCTCTATCCTGATTGAATGAAAAGTCAATTCTCTTGAGGCATATTCTGAACTGTGCTGCTTCCACATTGGTATTTGTAACTACGAGAAGACATGTAGAGAATCTACGACTTTGAGACGTGATGTTGAATCTAAGAAGTGTGTTATGACTGATATGTAGCAAATTATAAACAGTTCACTATATGAATGATAACTACTGTAATTTCCCTTTGTTCTATAAATATGCATCATGCAGTCTGGTTAGCCAAGGAAAGCCGCAAGGAACAAATTGGCCAGCTGTGTTGTGTCATGACCAGTGGAGAATATATATACTTCAAACCAAATCAGAACACAGTTTTATCAGATTCGGAGTTATACACTGAAAATGGATGTTTTTGCTTTTCTCGATATGGTAAATGACAGAATCGAGAATAGCACAAACATCCATTGGGAGAATATGCAAAATTGTAAGGGACAAATAGAAAATTTCTGAATGCAATAATATGTAAGAATAACATAAGGAAAAGGATAGCTCAATTGTCAGTCAGAATTCAGTTAATTCAGGGACTCTCTGTGAAATATGCTAATGCTGTAGAACACAAAGTGCCGGGTCGACATTCATTTGACAAAACAGTGCCCCGTCTAAGAGAAAGAAATTTTATAAGCAAGATTCCACCAACTACTAAGAAGTAAAAACCACAGTAATGGCGTGTTGTGTGTCAAATCTGTGTACTGGTGTGACGCGTGTGATGGAGGACCCCGTGTGGAATGTTTTCACGACTAACATACCCAGGTGAACTTCTAAGGTATTATGATACTATCATTCATAATTTTATAGGCTTACTGTGCCAAGAAATAATTTTAAAGCAGCGTGGATCAATACACAGATTCTATATACATTTCTGAACGTAGTGTGAAAATTAGAAAAACAGAACTTCAGTTTTTCCCAATTTATTACACTTTAAGTGAAATATTGCACTCTCCGATTTAAATATTTAAATATCCTCTGGCAGAGGAGTTAAGTAGGAATTTAAATGCCTGCCGGCATTGAAGGGTTAAAACAGCAGTACTGAAACAGTGTGATCACCATATATGTGAAACTGAATGACTGTAACAGGCTTGGATTTTTGAGATCAACTCTTATGAAGATTCATTACATATATGGCCAATTGTTCTCTCAATTTCTGAAACAGTATAAATCTGAAACTGGAGATACTTGCTACAAATACAGAGGTCTCTGTAACAGAACTGACCTGTTGAGTGACAGTGTGAGGGTGCTGTGAGTGATGCCACAGACCGTGCCTGTGGCCACGGCCAACTGGGCATCGGTACTCACAGTGACATAATCCCCCACTGTCAATCCAGATGTACGGAGATCTTGGAACGAGATACAATCCTTCTGAAAGGTGTGAACACAGGAATCACCACTCATCATCACCCTGCCAGTGACAACCATTGAACAAAGGCTCTTACCACGCTTTTCCCTAGAAGAATATTACAGAACCAGTAAGTACAGTAAAACCTGCTCACACTAAAAAGGGATAAATGGTAACAAAAGACTTAAAATTTATCATCTGGGAATAGGGGACTTTAAATCTCCCGGTACTATGGAGTTCATGCCCAGATTTTAACTTAAACTTAACAGTTTAGGCAGCGTCTACACGAGCTCACAAAATGCATCCGTTGTAACGAACGTCGTGATATCCGTCGTAGAAATAAACAAGAGAGGTGAATGCTACGCTTTCTTCTGGTTCCACTGCAGACAAAAACTATGCACCACATTCTGCAACTGTGTGGTGTATTCAGCAAAGTACATTCGTTACAACGGACGCATTTTGTGCGCTCGTGTAGACGCTGTCTTACTGTGTGGAAGTAGATGATTTTAAACATTTCAGTGCCACAGGTTTAGCAGTCATATTTTAACTTTGGGGTAACGGTATTAGTATCGAAAAAAATGAAGCCCTCAATAGTTAGACTGTGAATAGGGTCTGAGGTTCTCACAGTGGTGGTTATGATCTTGTGGGACATAATGTTGTGTAGTCTGCTGTCTATTTTCCTCATTTCATAAGAAAGGTGGGGTAATGGCATAATTTCTCCATGTTTCTGTCCTCCATCTGACAACTCTTGAGCTTATACTGACAGATTTTCATAAAACTTGGTATGAATTCCATGTCACCAAAGGCCATGCCCATCATTGTACATTATAATTAATAATACCAAAATGGGTGCTGTAGGAATTTCCAAGATGGGAACACAAAAATATAATATAGGTCTCCAAATTTTGTGTGGTAACAGACCTTAAAAAACACACAACTTCTGTTAAAGGAAGTTTTTGCAGCATGTAGAAACATGGTGACATATGAATATATTTTTGCTTCTGGTATGTTGGTGATAAGGAATTAATGAACACAACACACCTCTGCTGTGGATTCATGCACCACACATCCTTCTGACAGATGGGGCCAGAAGTCTGTGATTCTTCAAGAAGTAACAGTCCTGTCCAGTGAACCAAGTAGTCAACATGTGATGCAGACAGATGGGAAGTTGCAGCGCTAGCAAGTTCTGCCAGTGGATTACTTGTAGAGAGGTTGGACAACCCGTCACGCCTAGAACATTAACACAACATCTACTTCTAGACATCCTAGAAGCATGTTCACTCATTTGCCACAGGCAAGTTAACAAATGTAAGTGCCAACTATTTTTAACCTCGTTATAAAAGCACTAGCAATGAACATGTCTACGGCAAGCAGTGAACTGGTGGTTCCCTCGGCATTCCCAGGAACTCTTTACAACTGATGTAGATAGGCATTTGTCACAAAGCAAGTGGAGATGAGGTTACATTACATTTATACATACTCGTATATGAGCATTAGAAATTTAATAAACAAATGATTCCAGACAAATATCCATTTCTTTCAGAGCTACAAGTACCAGCAAGTACTTCATGATGTGAAGGATTCTTTATCCCAGTGCACCTAATAAATCAACTAATTCATTCACACATGAAGGGACCTGGTGGTCTTTTGGTAAGACACTAGATGCTCATATAGAGAACTGAATTTGATCCCTGATCACAGCTGAATGCAGCATTTCTGGTAACAGACTGAAACCTTCAATCTACCCAGAGATGGGGGTTTTGGAACATGAAGACCATCCTGCTCCCCAATGGCTCAGAGTCTACGTTATATCAGAGGTTCCTTCTTCCAACCATCACTCTCATGATCACACTATCACTGAGGGTAACAGAATCTGTCCTCAAATATGGATCTTACCTCCCTCTCTAGGTGACCAGACAGCTCGACACAGATCGTGGGAGGCACTAGATGACTATTTTCTGAAGTGGGAGCCACAGCCCCCAGGCCCAATAATAAAGATACTGAATTAATTCTAATCCTTAAATGCTACATCAAATTAAACTTCAAACATATAATTTCATTGCTATCATTAATATTCATTAATTATTAATTTCTAACATTGCTATCTTTCACTTTAAGTAATTTTTATTAAGTTAGGAGCACTAAAACCCTTCTTATTCACATGAAGATAGCCACAGACTTGAAGAATCTGGGAACATCTGCACTACATAATTCTTGACACATATAAATAGTCTTTCCTTGCAGGATTTTATTCTACATAAAGCAGTGGATCAGTTGCATTATGGAACCAAGAGAAAACACAATGGCATGCATAAAATATATGTGTGCAGCTGAACTGCAGTGGCTGTAAAACTAAAGCTGTTACTGTGGCTAAGTGTCATGCCATAAAGATGTACTGTGGAGGAGAAGTGCAGCTCCACACATTCTTAACTTAACTTAAATAGTGGATAGTGATCACATAAATATCTGAACTGCTTAAGTTAAAGAAGAGAGCAGAACCCAAATTTAAAGTTTCGGGATTTCAAACATCTCAAGTTATTACAGTCTGATGATTCTATGTCAATAATATAAGAGTTAAAAACAAACTCCGCAATTTTAGACCACAAGTGAACTATACCGACCGAGCGACCGCCACTTATCAGCAAAGTTAGTGCCAACTTTTGCGGATATAGGGTGTCGCGTGGTCAGCACAACAAATCCCCACGGCCGTTAATTTCGATTTCCTAGACCAGAGCCGCTACTGGTTAAGTTGCCACAAAACTAAAATTTTAATGTGTTTAACTCTTATATTTCCTTGAAATATAAGAGTTAAACATATTACAATTTGAGCTAACAGTGTGAAACTTAGCACCAAGATCATAAATATTTTGTATAAAACATTGCTCATATATTAATACATACAAATACAGCACAAATGAAATTCTGAGGTTATATCTGGCAATTTCCTGAGACAAAAAATTTGTAACAGGATACATTTTGCACAGAAGTATAACATGGAGCTGTACAAATAGCTATGTTTAATTTCCGCCACCCTCTGTATACATATGGAAGTATTTAAAGAAAATCAGGCATTATAAGTAATTTTCATTTCATGTATCCTGTTGTGTTATAATATATAATTTCTTTATTAAAACCGTCACAACACAACTATACTTGTATTAAGGTCACTGTTTACATTCCCTATAGAACGGACAATACATTGTAAGATGAGGCACTGACCAAATAATTAACATTAATATTACTACATCTACATCATGAGCCTCCAAAACAGTTTATTAGTTTATTATATATGCACAAAATATAGAATACTCCAATTTGTCTGTGGGAACACAACAAAATCACAAAAATCAACAACCAACTCGATGATGTAAAGCAGCCCTGTCCAACGCGGCGCCCATGGTATATTTATCTGGCACCCTCCGTAACCACATATAATTGAGCCGATTTTTAATATTAATTCAAATTGTAAAACAAGAGACATTTTTGAACTCCTGACTACTGTTAAATATTTTCGAAAAATTGTATTATTATTATTAGTAGTAGTAGTAGTAGTAGTAGTAGTAGTAGTCATCATCGTAGAAGTACTAGTAGTAGTAGTAGTAGTGTGTGGTGGCGCCCACACCTCCATAGGCATCAGTGAATTGTGCCCGAGTACATAAGAACGTTGGACAGCACTGATGTAAAGCATCACTTGAAGAATTTTATTCTTATTTTATACTATAACTTTTGTTTTATATAATCTAATTTACTGTATTTTTATGTCGCGTATTTTAATATAATTAATATTATTGTATCCAATTTTATTAGTACTGCAGTTTTAGTGATGTATATATGTTAGCCATGTATTTGCCTGATAATGGCTTTTAATAACCGAAACATGTAGCAGAGCCAAACTAGGCACTGACCTTAATATAGTTGTGTTGTGACAGTTTTAATAAAGAAATTGTATAGTATAAGTAATTACCAGAACTTCCTCTTGGACGTAAGGCATATTAACCTTAAAGGGATGGGCCATTTAAATTCCGGTAATGGCCTCGGGCCAGAGTTAATTTAAACGCCCGCCATTGTAGAGTAATAAAAATTGTAATCGATGTTACTGAAAATGCTGTGATTTCTACAATTTTTGTGATAAACGAACGAAATAAACGCTGCTTTTATCTAGAAAGAATATAGAATCAGAAATTGTAATTAGAGATTTTAGAATCTGTAAAAATTGTTACACTGATTCCAAAAAAATTTTTCCCCAATTTTGAGCGTCTGTCCACAAAAATGCATAAAGCTTCTGCACAAAACGTTTCTGCAGTATAAATGCATGCTGCTGACACACGGTCTGACTCTGGAGGAGTGAGGAAGTTTGTTTTCATTGCACATTCTCCAGTCACATGGGCTTCTTGTATACACTAGTGTGGGCGAGTTCTTATCCTTCTTTGTCCTTATGAAACTGTGCCTGTTTATACACTATGTCGGACTATCCACACAGAGTTACTGTTCTTGGAATGCCCTTGGGTCCTCGTCCCTTCATAACCGACTGTACCGCATTCTGAATGGTGTGATTTACGAGCGCCCTTTCAATTTCGGCTTCTTCCATGCAAAATGGGGCCATGGTGCATAGTTGAAATTGTGATGTTTCATAAGCGTTACGAATAGAGGAGACCACTCGCCATCACTGCCCTACTTCCTGCTAATACGAGACAGATGTTGCGTGTGTGCGCTTCACGTGGAAAACAGAGTTGCACACCGACAAAGTGCATGAATTGTGACGTCGGACTCTGCATTCAGTTAGATGATGCAGGAGGGAAGACCATCTACTTATAAAGCTGGTGTCCAAAAATAATGTAACGCATTCTGAATGGTGTGATTTACAAGCGGCCTCTCAATTTCGGCTTCTTCCATGCGTAACGGGGCCATGGCGCATAGTTGAAATTGTGATGTTTTATAAACGTTATGAATAGAGGAGACCACTCGCCATCACTGGCCTACTTCCTGCTAATATGAGATAGATGTTGCGTGTGTGCGCTTCGCGTGGAAAACAGAGTTGCACACCGACAAAGTGCATGAATTGCGACGTCAGACTCTGCATTCAGTTACATGCAACATTCAGTTAGATGATACAGGAGGGAAGACAGTCTACTTATAAAGCTGGTGTCCAAAAATAATGTAAGTAGAACAAGAATTTCTATCTTAAAATTAGATTTTAAAACACTGTGCGCATGCGTGGACTGCGAGTCACCATACGGTGTCCTTCAACCACTCGGCTTTAATTTAAAGGCCCCCATACAGTATTTTTCGGCTCATAAAGGTTAATTTCCAAATAAAAACACACAACAACAAACAACAAACACAAGAAAACTAAAAGTGATGTTACATAAAACAACATGCATGTCTCTGAAGTATCCAGAAGCACCCATCATATATTTTCTTACCCAAGGAATGAAGTGCATATTGTTAGATATGGACATTTGCTGCAAGCACTGTGATGATTTATTGGTTCTGGCAAGTGTGGGGGTTTGAATCCAGTGCCACTGTCCACCACAGTAGGTAATCTCGTGATGAAATAGGCAAGTTGGTTGCGAAGTAGTACCAAATCCCTCCACTCATTATTACCAGCTTTCACCTCTTGCATTATTCCATCCCTAAAATAGTTACGATTCAGATGACACTATCAATACAGGCATAAATATCAGTAAACATTCTCTCACCAAGTAAAGGAGTGTACTATGTCCATCAACACCAATTTTTGGAAAACTGGGTTCGAAATTAGTGAATAAGCTGCAGTTTCAATGTGATTTAGAACAAAACACATTTGGAGATCTCACACTTGCAAGTTATGAAACCTATGGAAGTATGTGGAGACAAAGTAACACAATAAGGAAAATCATAAAAGTGCATTATCTCATTTTTGCCCAAGTGGAGACACAAGACTCCAGTATTCATGCAATGATGTACAGTTGCAGCACAGCTAAGTTAAATTCTTATGTGTGAACACTTGAACTGCAAATGTGGAGCTTTTACAAGTGATTGTTGATATAGAGAGTGTGCTGTGGAACACACCTGAAACTATTGGTGCAAGAAACTATTTGAAAGCTGAGATGTAAGGCTCTCATGGCAATGAATATGAAAAACTCTGTATTCTGGTATGTGACACCATGTAGGCTGGTAGAAAGTTACTGTCATTTTGGAAGAATCTGATGCCTCAGTCTTCAGGGTAATAAGGGTGGGAGGGGAGTCGACAACAACAGAAGCAGCAGCAAGTTGCCCCAAAATGTTTGTAACTTTCTATCAGACTACCAAGGTGTCACTCCCCAGATGACAACAATTTTCTATTCTGATCACCTCATTTCAAGTGGACCATAATGTGATTTATATTGATGATTTACACTTGATATGCACTTGACCGGTATACACTTCATTCAACTATAGAACAGCTGACACAGAACTTACAGAGAAGTGGTGGTGGACTTGAGAGTTGTATGAAGGAGGAGTAAATAAAAGAGTTTGGGTCAGCGATTCATATTTTCACTCACTGTGATAGAAAATCATACCTTACTAAAATTACTCCTATACCCTGCTTCATAGTTTTACAGTCAAACAGTACTCACCTCAGGTACAACAACATCCCAGAATCCACCTCTCTGCCTAGCTGTGACATCATCATTGCATACAGTGTAACCTGACCTTTATGTTCAGCTGAAAAACATGGACGCCCAGTTTTCACTTCTAATGGCATAATCTGTAATTACAAACAGGGTGAATGACACAGAATTTTTCAAGAGACGTCCTGTAACCTAGAATTACATAGTTAATAATATGTCCACATAGAATTTATTCTGACTTGAAGCAGAAGTGGACACTTTCTTCATGACCAAATTTTGCATGATAAGACAAGTTCAAGATCAAGTAAATTCTCTATTTCCAAATATAATCAGTTTGACAAATAAAGATGACAGCCATGGAAGCTCTTCTGACATAATGTTAAACCATAATAAATGGAGCAGGGTCCTTTTGGAGAAGGTAACAGTCACTAAGCTTGTCAAGAAACTAAACCCAGTTCACAATTTTCAATCCTGTTTTCTAATATCCATTTCAGTATTATTCTCCCATCCATACCCATAGAAGTATACGTCTCTCTTCTTTCCCATGTGTGCTATATACTCCATTTATTTCATCCTCCTTTACTTCATTAATAAGCCTACAACATTCTACTTAAAGGTAAAAAAGGTAAAGTTCTCCCTGTGCTCAATGACATGAATGTGTATGGGGGGATGGATGTATAGATCCATATTTTCTTGACCTTGGCAATAGCTGAAGGTGAGTGGTACACCCTGGCCACTTTACCTTCAGGGAAAGAGCCCCTGGTACCCATTGGACAGGAAGTTGGGTGGACCCTGGAGCTGGTCTGCATGATATGGAGAAGAGAAAATTCTTGCCTCTACCAGGACTCGAACTCCAACTCCTCAGTCGTCCAGCCTGTAGCCAGTTGCTATACTGACTGCACTACCCTGGCATAACATTCTACTTACCTTAGTTAAATCCTTTTTGTGTCTATTTATTTTAACTTCCACTGTGACATCCACCTTTCCCTTCATTCCAAGCTCTGGTGCCCAAATATTTTCTTCTATGTCATGAATGGCACAGATGGTCCCACTGAACTTCTCAACATTATTGCTCTCATTCCAGGGTTGTGGTGCCATCTCATGGCCCAAATCTTGAACATACATGTCCACAAAGTTGGCTATATGTGGGACAAAGTTTTCTAGCTCCTTCATTGTCTCTTCCTTGGACATGTTCGCTGAGTACAACATCTGAATACAAGCTGATCTATTCAGCAGTTCTTGAGTCACATCCCTAATAGCTGACAATGTTCTGATATTGCGTTCCAGCACCTGAAGGTGTAAAAACAATCATTTTGGTGTGACAATCCACAAAAACCCTATACAGCAAATAATAAGATGCAGTCTCTTAATTATACGACAAATTATTCACATCAAAATTTTCTTGAATATGACAGTTGTAAATTAGTCTGAATTTATACAACTTCATATTTCTGCAAGGGTTTATGCGCTGTGTTCAATTACCCTCCATAATAGCCACAAGATGACACTACCATAAACTCCTTCAAAGCAGTATCTGCTGAGTCATTGTCCACTCATTTCAAAGTCAGAGCTTGCATCACTCAGAAGTAACACCTTATAGTGTTAGGTCACGTGTTGTGTGCCTTGCAGTTTGTGTTTTATCAGGAAGGATCCATCTCAAGATCTGAACTGGTTACCTCACAAATACAAGTCTAATATACTACTGATATTTCAGCCTGCCTGAAAAGCTGATATGCAATAAAACTGTAAATTATAGGAATTCAAAGTACAGTTGTTACACAGTTCTAGTGCACTAAGCCTAAATATACACCACAGTATAAAATTAAAAAATAAAATATAAATAACCTCTTGGAGCAATTCATGCACCAGGCTACCAATGATCATGATACGGGAATCACAATCAATGCCTCTAAACCACTCTGACAGGACACCCTTGCGCAAACAGAAGACTGATCCGACAACAGCTGTGCTGGAGATCAACATATCAGGGTGCAGCACAAGAAGACCTACAGAATTGCTGATAAACCATGATGCAGGACAACACGATGTCTCACAACGGCTTGCCCTGACGCTTATGATGTCACCAACTTCCAACTCACTGTCTGCCCTGGAAATTAAATTTACTGATAAGTTTCTTTCAATACTTTGGCAATTCATTCATTAGAGGAAAATATCCCAGATTAAGATTATGGTCTACACAGATGAGACACCATATGGTCTGGCAAATAGATACTGATGTTTTGGATTGACTCATTGCTTCCATCTTGACTTCATGTCATATACAGATGGAGCCTGCAGACTCCCCTGAAATGTTATCTATCTACCAGACTGTGTGGGTGTAACATCACCATGAGAACCTCAAATCTAAACATCCTGGCCATCAGAAATGAGTACCAGGAATCTTCTTGGGAGTAATAGGGGCTGGCACATAAGGCTGACAACCTCAACCCCCATCTGTGGGCCTATTGCCTAGAAAATGTGCAAGCCTTGATGTCTCATAACCCCATGGGCCTCCACAGCCTGTTGCAGGAATACCTTTCTTTTTTTTTTTTTTGGTTCAAGGCAGATGCCATTTCTGGGGAAAATAAGAGCTAACTGCCATGTACTGAGTTAAAAGGACCAATGCTCTAGGACAGTGATGTCCAAATACATTAACTAAGCAAGACTGAGATTCTAACAGTGTTGACTATGAACATAAACATCATCTGGACTGTGACAACATGCAGTCTGGTTTTGGAGGAACCTGCTGCTTCCATCTTCAGATGGAAGAGTACCTTGAAGATGGAGGCAGCAAGTTTCTATGAAACACTTGTAAATTTCTCTTGAGACTACATTGCATCATGTCTCAGAAGACAGCAACCTTCAATTAATTAACTTTCTTGCAATAGTACCCAAAGGTTCAATTCCATCCACTATTGGTCATGACATCAAGCCAGTTCTATCCACTTCCAGCTCTCATTAAGTTTTTTATCTACAATGCATCTAAACGTTATTTTTCTATATTCTTGTCTTCTATATGGCTGCCTTCCAATCTAGTAAGTTTCTGGACATTCAGAATACAATCAAATGTTATATAGTATTTCCAACAGACGGTAACCTTGCAAGTGGATGTCCCGCATCCATCAAGAGCATGTCGATATGTTAAAGGTGTTTGTGGATATTTTCTGACAACCATATGAATATTAATCTTCATAGCATATTTTTGGTTATAAGTGCAGTGCAAAAGATACATGCATAATGTTCCTTGTGAGAATGCAAATTGAACATAACATGCACAAGTCTGTAAAGACCTCCTGACAGTGGCGCACATTAACCAAGCTGGCCTTACCAGGAATCCTGAAGCAGACACGATGTCATGGCTTTACTGTGTGTGGAACGCAGCTTAACTATTTTCTCCCATTTCTTTTTACTCCTTAGCTCTATGATCTCACATCTTTGGAAAGTGTCCAGGCTTAGTTCCTCTTTGTTCTCCAAAACTGCATTTCTGAAGTAAAAACGGTTCTACATTTAATATTAGTGACTTGAGTGGTTGATGCTTAGGACATCTGATGATGATATTCAAAAGTCCTCAGACAGATCATGAATGGTGTTACAGCACTGATAAAGAACATTGTTCTTGACACACATATTTACGTCTGTAATGAGGGCTTTTGAGGGTTTAGCTGCATCATGTGTTGAAAGCATTCCAACATTCTGGCATACACTGCAGCTACCACCTTCTGGGTGGAAGAAGAATGTGGCCTGACATAAGGTTTTGAAATAAGCCTAATGGAGCAGCCTGGAACTTGGTACTATTCAATGGGAAGTAAAGTTTGGAGGAAAAGCCACAGAACAAGACTTCACTCACTTTGTATCCATCTTCATAGCAGAAGTTGCTATTCAGAGTTATCTCTGAACTTAATTAAGCATCACACCAAGGTGGCTGTGGGAATGAAGGTATGGCTCCACATAAACATAACTAAGGTAAATAGTAAATGCAGGTAAATAGTCAGTTATATGCTCCACCCATTTTATCCCCAGGGAAAGAGCCCCTGGAACCCACAGGACAGGAGGCTGCCTAGATCACAGAGCTGGTGGGAATGCTGAGAAGAGAAAACCTTCTGCACCCACCAAGAATCAAACCCCAATTTCTTGATCATCCACCCCATGACCTTGCTGTTACACCAACTACGCTACCTCATCACTCTAAATAAACAATACCTGATGAAGTGTACAAACTGTGAAGCTTGAAATTATGTGATTTTAGTAACTAATTTTCTTACCCTGTTGCCTTTTCTTCAATCATTGAGAAGTCCCAGTTGTCCGAAGACAGCCATGCTGTATAATCCTCGTGAACTATATCATCTGAGCTATCAGCTTTAGAGTGAGACTTCAGCTGCTTAACTGCAGCTGTCTGTAGTCTGCTGCAAAACACATCTGCTTGCTGATCACCCTTCTGAACACTGTGCTCTGAACATACAGCTTCCAAGTTTACTGTATCTGATTTGGAAATAGGCTGTCTGCACACATTTGTTTCAGATAGTGCCGTACATGTATCCTCAGCTTCACTTTCTGCAGTTGCATTCCTACTGCTTAGAGTGTCATTACCAAAAATTTTATTACTTGAGCCAACAGAACTACAGTCATAATTTAATTCCAATATATCCGAAGATGCAGTTTTGTTGGACCTGACTGAGTCTTCAGTTCCATCTGTACACGGTTTGGTCTCACATTTACTTATTTCTGAAATACTGCACGTATAAACTGCATCTTTGGGCTGTTTAATGTCATCTTTTGGAACACTACGATAAGAAACTTTGTTCTTTGATGTGACAGGATTATGCAAAATAGAGTTTTCCAAAAATGTTTCTGGTATGACAGTAACACCACTCGAAATTACAGTCGTGGTTCCTAGGATGGGTGACATAATATTTTCATGGACTCCATATCTTCCAACGTGCATGTTACAGTTTGTGTCTATCAGCCGCTCAAAGCTGCTAACTTCTGCACCACAACCTGCAGAACTGACAACCTTCACATTTTTCTCAGTGCTGCAAAAGTTATCAGACTCAAGGTCTAGACTAGTAACTCTGTAATGACTTTTAACACCTTCTAAGGAGTTACCAAATTTTGTACAGTCCTGTGCATTTGTACAATCATCTGTGTCATTTTTTATGGTGCTTGTATTATTATAATCATATTTTTCAGTACATGCCTGTCCAACTACATTCACAATTGTATCTTTTGAACCTTTACTTTCTGGTGTATGAACACTTTCAACTCCATTAAGTCTTTCCTTTTTGCATGGAGAAGTGTTCAGGAGTTCAGAATTATTAACTGAAAGAACTCTGTTTTCTGTTCCATCAGTGTTAAAAGCTTTATCCAGTGAATCAATGTGGGAAAAATCCTGCTTTCTTTCTTTGCCTGAGGAACATCTGTCTCTCTTTGAATGTTTTGTGCGTCTGCATGAGAGGCTAAACTTTCTGGTCTTAGCAGTGGGTGTCGTTGGGATGATATCTGGAATGCCCTCTTCACTGTACAATTTCCTTTTAGCAGTAGAGGTTGACTTTGATGAGACGAAAATTAAATCACAGTTTTCATCCATGACCTTTACTTCCTTCTTTGGTGATGCTAATAATTCATCTTCAGAAAGTATAACTTCTTGTGGCAACTCTTTCACAGGAGACTTAACTGTATCCTTCTTAAAATATGGGGATTTCTGAACCCCAGGAGTTACGCTTGCATTATTTTTATCTGACAAAACAGGCAGTATCTGTCGATTTTGCAGTTCATTTTTCTTGACAAAGAAACTTGATATTTTTGCTTGTCCTTTACACAGAACAATCTATAAAGGGAAATATGACAAAATATTAATTATGTTCAAACAATAATTTATTCAGAAAACATTTTTTAAATCAATACTTCAACCTCAAGTATAATACAAATGTTGTTTTCCTTCCATGAATGAAACTGTTAACAAAAAACAATCTGAACAATACTATCTTCTGGGCCATGATGCCATGTACTTCAGCAGAAGTTCACAAATGTCTAAGGAACAATCAGAACTCTCCTTGCTGCCAGATTTGTGCTGGGTACTCAGTTGACCTAATCTTCATCCTCAAAAATGACAGATGTACGATTTTCCAAAGCACTGGCGAACTTCTACTGGACATGGGACATCCCGGGAGATAGTATTCTTCAGTCAGTCATTCATATAATTAACATTAAAATCACCACAGATAATAACTTTAACATTACTTTTACAAAGTTTTTGTAAGATCAATTCCATATTTACCAAAAAAAAAAACCATAATACTGAAAGTAGATCTATATACAGATACAATACATATTCTTTGACTATTAAAAGTTAAGACTGACAGCACAAGCTTCAATATCCTTGTCACAGCAGTAACTATCGAGATTAATGGTGGACATTTTTAAACTGTTGTGGATATATTGTATATGCAAGTCTCACCTTTTTTAAAATATTTCCTACTACAGTGGGCTCCTAGCAAGTAATTATCAAGATTAAGAAAAAGATTAAGGATTGTTATCTTATCATTTCCCAGAAGATGTTTAGTAAAACATAAAAACTGCAGTGACTGCAATAGTCATAGCTGTGTCATCTTCAAATCCAGGGTGAAAAATGACAAATAACCCAATGAAATACTTTTTAAGCATGATACTTTAATTAAAATAAAACTGCTATAGATCAGTGCTAAAAATTAAATTATCTTTAAAACAATTACTTACGGGTTTACGACCTTTCCCCATATCACAATTCAACACTCTATACTGCAGGTTCCAGATTATAACTACACACACTTCTCATACAAAACAGAGAGCAGATTAATCTTTTTACCATATAGTGTAGAACAATGTGCACTAAACTAAATATTCTACACTACTCATTCTTACATATTCTAATTAATACGCCTTTGCATTTCAACTATTAAAGAAAAAGCGCGGTTTTGAGTTTGATTCGACGGCAGAACAGAATAGCCAACCCACAAACAGAAATTGTAATCTTCAAACTCAGAGATTACAAAAACCTTGAGTTAATTTATATTCATAAAATAAACAAAAAAATGTTAAGTGAACTCAGTGCCCATTTCTAAGCCTGTGATTTTCAAGTTATATTTACAGTCTCGATCCGTTTGTTGGTCGTATATATTTGGTGACCATGTTCAGATCCGATAGTTCCAAATATTATTAAAAGAGCACTCTGTTGCCATACATTTGTATGTGATATTTGGGAAGGATGATGTCGTGGTAAAAATGTTTTGACGTAACGTTACTGAATATCTATGAATTGTCAAAATCATAAAAGTGAGTTTTGGAACGAGAGAATTATGCATATTGCAAACTTTTGGCACGTAAGTGGTATCCCTAATATAATACACTGAAAGTTGTTCGACACTTCTTAAATATCTGGTAACAATAAAACTACATACTAATTGGGTGTGATATTACTTTACTCGTAGTGTCTATAGGTATACTGGTGAAATGATGGCGGCAGAAGGTGAGGAGTGTGAGCTCCAGCAGCTGGTTCCGCCGGATGATGACTCCCGATTGATGAGCAAGTCTGGTGAAGTGACACCACCAGTAACTGCTGTTGTGAGCAAGGTGACTCAAACCTCTCCCACTTCCCCTGACAGTAACAAGGTCAGTAATAAGAACAACGATGTTCACATTAGTCAAGTATTTTGCATGTGGACATCGTGTCCTGTTAATAGAAGAATCTATATTTTAAGGTTTATTTGAATCATAAAATATCTGCAGGTGTCATCCAGCGCAGGAAGTGTACGAGGAACCCAGAGCCAAGGGTCAGGGGGTTCACGCAATCCGAATAGAATGTCAGCAGCACCTATTTTGGGAACATCTGCAGTTACATCACCAGCAGGTGGTAAAATATTTAAAGGAAGTGTTTTTTCCAATTTTATTATGTGCATGTAATGCAAAGGTCTAAATTATGTGCTTGACTTATATGCCCATTATCGTCTTAAGGGAGGGTACAATAGGTGCAAATTTGCTTTTCACCTTTTCAAGCTACAAGTCATATTTTTACATGCCTGTATCTGCAGGCTGATTTAGATATTGATAAATGACCAGAGCCAAAACTTGTCTGATAACTTATGCAGCCAAATAGTGTGTATTCTGATTAGCACATTACAAAGCATTTAAATATTGACCACAAGGTATTGCCCATAATTCAACTATGAATGTGTAACAATTATTAACTAGTTTTTATGAAAGCCAATAGCAACAAGACCTTTAGTTTAACTTAAGAGAACATCATACATTGCAGGGTCTTAGGATTTTGTATGATAGTTGATCTTAGGAAAGTATGAAACTCATGTTACTGTAACTAGAAAACAACCTATTTAAATAAATGGTAAACTGGGAGTATTAACACAGGAGCATTATTTGTGATATGCCATCTGATCCCAGAGTTCCATTCTTTATTACAAGCAAAAAGACTGCTGACTAAATACATAACTCATGTTCATTCAGTATTTATCATTATCATTTATTTACATGTCAAAAATCCTTTACAAGGTCATAAGACTCAGGATATAGACAATAAATAGTCCAATATAACAATTAAATATAATACGTGTTAAAATATTTATGTAAACATAATTTTAAAATTATAAAATTTGTAATTCAACTTTTCATTACTTATGTATATAATCCCAATGAAATCAATTATCAATCTTTTTAACCCTATAATCAAAAAATTCATCACTACCATAAAATGAATGTAAATGGAGAAATTGTAATAGTGCTTTCTTGAATCGATTTTTGTTTCTGGATAACTGTTTTATTTTGCTTGGAAGACTATTATAAATTTTGATTCCAAAATACTGTGGACCTTTCTGAAATGCTGTTAGATTTGACAAGGAGAGATGCAAATTTGAACTATTTCTTGTTACAGTTGTATATATATCTGAATTTTCTGCAAATAAATCCATATTATTAACTACAAACATCATCAAAGAATATATATATCGAGAGGGTACTGTTTGGTTTTCCTAATTATGTACCAGGCTTTATTTAATTTACCTATAATTGAATCTATATGTTTTTTCCAAGATATTGTGTTATCCAGTGTCATACCCAAGAATTTTACCTCATTTGACTCTAATAAAGTTTTGTTTCCATATTCAATATTTAATTTTTTGGTAAAATTATGTTTAGCTGAGAAATTTACACAGCAAGTCTTGCCTAAATTTAATGAAAGCATATTAAAATTAAACCATTTATTCATCGATCTAAACACCGTAGTAAGTTTTTTTACCAGCTGCATAAAATTTAATTCATCTACTATTACACTTGTATCATCGGCAGATAGCACAACTGATGTATTTGATGGGACAGAACATTGTATAAAGGAGGGTAAGTCATTTACATAAATCAAAAACAATAGCGGTCCCAAAATCGATCCTTGAGGAACACCTTTATCAAGTTTGCCCCAATTTGATAATTTATTGTTGAATTTTACCCTTTGGTATCTATTTTCTAAATTTACTTACTTGTGATAGCCAAAAACTGGAGAATTTGTTACACAACTTTTTTTTTGTGTGTAGGTAATTGAACATGACAGAAAGTTTTATCATTTGTTGTACTACAAGCTTTAGTGCTATTCTAATTTCACCAGCTTTCTCCGCTGTTCCTTTTTAGTCGAACATGCATAGTCAATCATTCATAAACCACCATCTTGATGTACTATAGTACACCTCATATCCACATCAAAATATCAGTTCTCTTATGACAGTCACAATACACTGAAATAAGAGCGAAGAATGCCATCTCTTGGGATGTGGCACTGTGTAGATTTTGTGAACTGACATTTCAGAGGAATGTTTGCTCATTTGTGAAGTATCACATCACTTACTTTCATGTAACGGCTTAGCAGTTCATTACTATGTCAAATATTGCAGGGGGCCATGCGGTAGCGGAGTGGTTGAGGGGCTATGCTACAAGCCGGAAGGTCACGGGTTCAAGTCCCGATGAGGTCATTGGATTTTTTTCAGTTGACCTAATCCTTCCAGACGCACTAGGCCCTGGGGTTTATTCAGCCTCTAACAGAAATGAGTACCAGGAATTAAAGCGCGGTCGGTGTGTAAGGCTGACAGCCTTACCGCCATCTTTGAGCCTATTGTCTAGATAGTGTGGGACCCTCAACGTCTCACAGCTCTATGGGCCTCGGCCTGGTACAGGCATAGCTTTACTTTTCTATATCTTATATGCTTTTTATATATTAGAAGGATACTGTTAAACTATAGGCAAGTGGATGCTGCGAAGTCAGATCTGAGTCATGAACTGTTAGAATGTTTGAATAAAATCTACATTTGTAACATTTATTTCATGTCATATAATACATTAACTAATTTTATATCCCACTTGGAGAGTTAATTATGACAAGCCGACTGTTGCTCAGCATAATCTCAGTGTCATAGTATTTGTGGTCATTATGAAATTACTTTTATTAAATTATGTACGAGTTCACTGTCATGATTCACTTTCACTTCTGTGGAATGGAGTCCATGGTTTCTGAATGTTATTCGTGGGGTCCATAGCAATTGTGAATCCTTCTGAACAGTTCTTAAAGGAACTGCAGTCAGAAGCAGCCTCCGTAGTCTAGAGGTAACGTTCCCACCTCATAACTCGTAGTACGCGGGTTCAAATACCCGGTGGAGGTCGTCAAATTTTTAAGGGCGAAAAAATTCAGGGAACAAGTCCTCCGGGAGGGACTTTAAGCCATGGGTCCCATGTCGTAGCTTTACGGCACGTAAAAGGACCTCATACCTCCAAAGGAGGTCACTGAGCAAAAATTGCGGACGTTTGCCGCCCAACAGCAGTCACTAATACCTCCGGTAGAGGGGGGAAGCATTATAGATACTTCTCAGCCAGTAGAGCCGGTCTCGCTGGCTGGGCAGGACTGATGGTAAGCACCAATACCAGTAGGATATAGAGACTGGTAGAAATCATAGAGGGAAGCACAATGGACCACTACAGGTCTGAGTGCTTGGGGAAACCCACCCTCTCTAATAACTAACTAACTAACTGCAGTCAGGAGATATATTGTAAAACTTTGGTGTCATTTATAATGTATGTTCACCTGTTTCAGGTTCTGTTAGTGGAAATCAGCACACAAAGTTCCTTTACGTGAATGAAAGATTGTCCCGTGGTCCTTCTATCATGCTAGACAACTCTTCACGCTCTTCACGTGAGCCAAGATTGAATCCAGTAGCAGCCCGACTACACAATACCAAGAAAGGTACATATTCCAGGCAGAAACAGTTTGTGACTGCAGTTTGATACAGACAGTATACGATGGGGTACCCAAAAGAAACCGAACTAATTTTTTTGTGGGCAGAGCTTTTGTAGTACTGCGTTTTGCCGCTATGAGTGCATAGAGCTAACATTCCTGAGTCGATAAGCCGACTACCGTTGCTTCAGAAGGTAAGGACTAGTTTCGGCAGAGTTTATAGTGACAACTGTTTTGTGTGATCGTCGTTTTTGCAATGGCTGATTTTCGTGAACAGCGTGCGG